GTCCCCGGCGCCCCGCCCCAGCCACAACCAGGACTCCTGGGCACGAGGAGCACGGGTTAGACCCAGCAATCCTGGGCTCGACAACCAGCCATAGCGCTGGGGGTCACAGCCACCTCCCTCTTCCATCCCATACCTTGACCAGGTTGTTGCAGAACCAGTAGACACCCCCCATGTGCAGCAGGGTGTCGAAGATGTGGATGGAGCGGCTGTCGACCCAGCCCTTCTCCAGCACCTTGGTGAACACGCTCGTCAGCACCTCCTTGATGGGCTTCTTGGGGGGCAGCAGGTTCCAGTAGGGGATGGTGTCCATGCCCGTGGAAGGGAACTTGATCTGCGTGGCCGTCTGCTGCAGGACGTCTGCGCACATGTGCTCCAGGATGGAGCTCATGATCACCACGCTGCGGCAGAGAGAGATGGGGTCACACAGGCCCCGGGAAGCGGAAGAAAGGCAGGAGACGGCACGGCACGGGGCCTGGCGCGCCGGAGCTCACCGCTCATTGTAGAACTGCAGCGTGTTCTCGCCATACAGGGGGGTGGCCAGCTGCCGGATCATCTGCAGGGACTTCTCCCGCTCATCCAAGCCCAGCATGCGGACATGGGCCACCAGCCAGGCCACGGCGCACACCGCCATGCTGCACACCTTCCCCTTGATGTTGTCTGTGATTTTCTAGGAAAGGAGAGAAGAGCAGAGGAGGATGAGCAGAGATGTGTGGATGGACACACTTTAACTCAGCATCACCTCCCAGGGCTGCGGGCCCCGATTGCAGGGTCCAAGCCCTTCTCTCCTCCATGGGGTGACCCCGCCCCTGCCAGCCCCACTGCCACCAACGGGGCGGTTTGGGGCAGCATCAAGGGGCTGGAGCCACATCATTTCCCCACCCAAGTCATGAAGGAGCCAGCGAGCTCCACAGCGGCTGCAGGAGCATTCAGGAGAGGACAGGGGACCCCTGCCCTGCTCAAGCCTTGGCCCCTCTTCAGGACACAGCGCAGTGTCAGTGCCCCTGCTCTGCCCCATCCTCCCGCCAGGTCCACCTGGATCGACTCAAAGGTGAGGACACCGTTCTCCCAGGCGTTGAGGATCTCCAGGATGGCGGCTGAGATGCTCAGACATGCCTCATGCCACTTCATCTGCCTGCCAGGGAAGAGAGAAGTGAGGGGCTCAGGCACTCGTTCAGAGTGGCCACGGGGCCAGGAAAGATGGGGTGGTTGCCCGCCTCCCAGTCTACCCCAGCCCGGCAGGGTGGGCGCACACACTGAGCTCTTACACCAGCTTCATCTCGGAGGAGTTGTTGAGGAGGGCGACCAGGGACTCCACCTTGGTGGAGTCGGGGCGGAAGCAGGGGTGGTCAGGGTTGAGGATCTTGCCTTCCTCGGGCATGCAGGTCAGCATCCAGGTCTCAAAGAAGGGCACCTCGCCCGCTGGGCTCGACTCCGACAGGATCACCTGGAAGGGAACCGGCACAGGGGGTCTGCTGTGCGGCCT